GATGCCTAAATCTGCTGTGGGCAATATATTCCATTTATCTGTCTACATATTTGCCAATGCCACGTTGTTGTAATTACTCTAGCTTGATAATAAGTCTTTAGAGCTGACAGAGCAAATGTGAACGAACTACCTTGTTGTTCTTCAAGAATGTTTGGGCTGTTCTTGGTCCCTTGCTCATCCATTTTAACTATAGGATCAGTTTGCTAAGTTCCAGCAATCCTGTAGGGGCTTCTTTTCTAAAAATAATTGGAATCACACTGAATTTAGAGATCTGAAACTCTGTATATTTTCTTGGATTTTTCAATGCAGATAATTATATTGTCTGTAAATAGAACTTTTTCTAAACATCACATTTCATTTTCCTTTTAAAATATTTTTATCTTACTGCACTGGCTAGTGCCTTTAACACAGTATTGCACAGATGCAGTGATAAAGGTATCTTCACCTTATCTCTGACCTTAATGGGAAGGTTTTAAAGTCTAACCATTAAAGTGAGTGTGATGCTTGCCAAGAGTTTCTCAGAGGCTAAAGTGGAGCCCAGCTTTGGAGCAGAGACTCAGATCAGCTGCACCTCTAAAGAGCTTAAGGAGTAAGAAAAGCAAGCAACACAATACACACATGCGAGAAAATCAGAGGATAAATCATGTTCTTACTAAGCATTAACATAAGAAAAAAAATGTGCAGCTACTGACCTTTACAGGTCATTTTCCTCCAGTGAGCTCTCCTTTCTTACCAGAAGGTGGCAGAGAGGGTGCAGCTTAAGCCCTCCCCCACTCCTCACATTTTTAGAGGAAACTTTTTTTTTAAAGAGGAAGACAAATAACTCTTGCACCTTGGAATTTTAACCCTTATAAATACAGGCTTTCAGGTTCTATTATTTGATATCATTATTAGAAATACCATCTAAGAGTGACTAGAGAACTCACTATTGACATCCACACCACATGGGTGAAATATAGCACATTTGGCTATAACCAAGAACGATGAATCTGTCTGAAATACATTAACGGGTAAGCTCACTATATCATTAGTAGAAACCATTTTAAGGACCACTGAGAAATAAAAGAAAAGTGTGTACATGCCACTGACTGACAAGTCATCTCAACTTGCAGTATGAAAGTGTAACTTCGTAAAGCAGTATTCAAGTCTGTAATGTTACAATGCCCTCGTCCAGCCAGCGATAACAGGTGATAACCAAGTCCCGCCTTCCACTCATAGAGCAGCTTTCCTATTGTCGAGATGAGAGTAGGACGGACACATGACTCACCTAGGGTCAGATACCAGCTAGTGACAGACCTGTCTGTTGAACCCAAGTCTTCCAGCTCTTCGTCAACCTCACCATCTGTCTTTAACAAGATGAATCTCCATAAACAGCTAAGTTAGCTACAGCTTCTGCTCATAAGAAAACACAGTTAAGTTCCCTGCAGGCGTATTGAAAATGGCACAAAACTCAAAAGGAGGTGTTTATTTTGAGAAGGAAAGGACTCCTGATGAGTTTCTGGGGTGTAGTCCACAGGGGAGGACTGCCAGGTCAAGACCAAATGGGCCCAATCCTACTCAGAGCTGGACTGGGAGGAGGGAGGGGCAGGGGCATGCTCCCAGAGGCGTGCTTCCAACTCTGAGCTTCATCAAGGGAGCACAGCCCAGGGCAGAGGGGGCCGCAGGAGTCAGGGAGTCAGGGAGCGGTCAGAGACGGCCCACATGGTGACTGGGCCTGCCCGGAGAATAAACTGAGACAAGTTTAATGGTCTTAGCCGGAGGCTTCACTCACAAAAACTGTTTCCACTGAATCCAGTCCCTGACTTACGAGAGCAAATAATATTCCACGATCTTTTCAATGGCTCGTCCCCGAGAAAGCCTAATTGTAAACTGGTGTGGAAGTAAGAAATCAGGAAGTAATGTTAAAAGTCGAGGTTTCTCTTAATAGAGGTCAGATCTATTTTGCAGAATCCTCTGCAGGTGCAGGGCAGAAGGAACTCTAGACATTCGTGGCTTGGCAACCTCAGAGTTCCGTTCTGCTTTTCGCCTTGCTGCGGCCAGAGAATGCCGGCCCTTCTGTACGGGTAGGTGTGTTTTGCCAGAAAACTCACATATTTGTGGGTGGAGTCAGTTGGGAGGCTGGAGGGATTTTTTCAAAAGTCTGTGGAGGCCAAGGGACTTCCAAGGGGTGAAAAATAATAGCTTGGGAGTTAGCAAATTTCCACTGTTTGTGGAGCCAACAGTGCAACTCTGGAAACATGGCAAGTAACTGACCATTACCGGGGAGGGAGAGCCTGAGACTGGATGGCTGTGTCCTAGGATCCTGTCATGACATGCACCTTCACGGTGGTACCCAGAACCGCAAGAGGGGCTTCTCCGGTTGTCCTGGTCTCTCCAGCCTCGGCAAGATTCAGCTTAAGTGGCTGCAACTCCAGGTACCCCATTAGAACGTGGAAACAAGGGAAATACACTTCTCCAGAGAATTAAATCAATGCACAGTAAATGACAGGCATACACAAAGTCACCTTAAAATAGGATCGTAATCTCGAGGCATTCACAAGTCTCTGAGAAACCAGCCACACAACTCTGAGCTCTGAGAAGCTATTCACACAACTTCTTTATCCAGTCATCTGTCAGTGGACATTGAGGTTGCTTCCATGACTTGGCTATTGTAAATAGTGCTGCTGTGGACATTATGGTGTATGCATCTTTTTGAATTAAAGTTCCCTCTGGATATATGCCCAGGAGTGGGATTGCTGGATCATATGGTAAGTCTATTTTTATACAATGGAATACTACTCAGCCATAAAAAATTATAAAATAATGCCATTTGCAGCAACACGGATGGACCTGGAGATTGAATTCTAAGTGAAGTAAGCCAGAAAGAGAAAGAAAAATACCATATGATATCGCTCATATGTGGAATCTAAAAAAAAAAATGAACTTATTTACAAAACAGAAACAGAGTCACAGACGTAGAAAACAAACTTATGGTTACCAGAGGGGGAATAGGGTAGGAAGGGATAAACTGGGAGTTTGAGATTTGCAGATACTAAGTACTATACATAAAATAGATAAACAGCAAGTTTATACTGTATAGAACAAGGAACTATATTCAATATCTTGCAGTAATCTATAATGAAAAAGAATATGAAAATGAATATATGTCTGTATATGTATGACTGAACTATTACA